TAGATAGAGCATGGTTAGTGACACCCTTTTTTATGATGCATTATGGGAAACAATGAGCGCACTATATAGGGTATAAAAAAAATTTCACACCACTACAAAATGGTGAACTCACTTTATAGTACATATTATTGAAGGATTTCAGACACAGCCGAAGAGAATGATGATTTCTTCTTCTCGTTCCTGTCAACACTCGAGCATCTTGGATCAACTGAAGGTTTATGCAGGTGAGACTTGAGTAAATAAATGAATATTGAAAGGGCTCTTACCTCATCTATGCTGTGTGCCTGTAAGTTTCAAGGGACTATCTGCATATTTCCTCTGGAGTTTCTGTGTGCAGGCCCGGGGTCCAGACGCCGTGCTCTCAAGACACGGTCGGGCTCCGTGAAGGCTCAAGGTGTTGCCAGCCTCGTCCCCAGGGATGATTTAGAGCTGACTGCCATCAAGCGGTGTTGGACGTCTACTGCGAGGACCATGGAAGCAGCCAACCCGCGGCGCAGCTGACCTGTGGCCTCCTCCGTTGTGAGTAGGACAGTGACTGTTTCCTCCTCCTTTTTGCCCACATTAGAATATTGTCACGAACTCAGATGCTCTATCCTTCGTTTAAGTTGGCTCTAACATGATTTTAGTAGTTTTGCTCATGAGTGACCGTGATGATATTTGAAAATCTATGTGGGGGGGGTATGATCCTATCAATCAATTCAGTTCTGGTAAAAACACATTTTATGAACCTATGGAGAGGCTTATGTTGTAATCCAAACCTTATTTCCATAAAGAGTTCATCTGTGACTACACGTTACTTATGCTCGGAGAGGATTCTCTCTCTCTCTGAGTTTTCTGTTTTGTTTTACTTCTGTCATAAAGGTTTTTCTAGGTTTTTCCTCACCTTAGTCCAGGTTTAAGGACAGGAAGAGTCATTCATGTTTCAGGGTGGTACGATGGTGCAGTGGTTAGCAGTGTGGTAAGCAGCAATAAGGTTCGAATCCCAAGCTCTGCCCAAGTCTCACTGGGTCTGTGTGAATTTTCACCAGGTGCCTCTCTTTGACCATATTGTGAATGGTTGTTTCTCTGTGTGTTGCTTGGATTGATGGATCCGTGTTCCATACATTCATTAAACATAACTAGTAAATTACATATCATTAAGTAGTACTATGAGAAATCAAAGCTTTAGTTTGACATTAGAGGCCTGGTGAACTCTAAAGAACTTTCAACTCTTGTCCGATTTAAAAAAACACAAGAGACCACAGACATATTCAACAGATTTTTAATATTACAATCGTCGTCCAGATCGTAAATCCACACACATCGGTGATTCCAGAGACTTCTCCCAGAAACTCACACGGAAAAAAACTGAGGGTAAAGTCATGGCCGAGAAGAGCGGAATAACCTTGGCTTACACATTTTGTAGCGTGAGCCGGAGATGAGTTGGAAATGTATCGTTGTTTGTACAAGTACGCAGCTTCAGGTTGGGGATGCTTCCTGGTCAGCCTGCTCTCCTTGGCAGTGATGTTGATAGGTTTTCAGTGTAGTGAGTCCCCGGGACACACAGGTGGTGATTTGAGTGGGTCCTTGGGAAATTAAATGGTTCTCCAATAAAACGTGTATTTCTTGAGAAATTGTAGTATTAAACCCCTGCTCGATGTCGTTGTGGTATTATATGGTTATAATTAACAGATATATTCGTGTGTGTTCAAA